CTAAGCTGTTGTGGGCCCCCGTGAAAAGAAGCTTCAGCAAGGCACATTCCTGTGCTCCACAGACAGGCCAGAAGGCATGTGGTCTCCCCCTCACTCTGGCCAGGAGGTTTGTTAGGAGGGACGAGATGAAACACTGCTAAAACTTTGTTTCCTTTAAGTATGCACTTTTTTTTTTTTTAATGTGCTCTTCTTCCCTTTGATTTTTACCATTTCTGCTGAAGTATCCCAAAAGGAAGAGTGCTTTGTTATGATAAGCCTGATACTTCCCTATGGTTTGTATATTTAAAAAATACCATAGGCTATTTTGGGCAGTGATCCTGAAACTCCTCACTTTGTTTTAATGGCTACGCAAAATATTTTCTAAGACCTTTGAGATTTTTTTGGAAACATCTGTGGAAAATACCTTCTAAAACTGATCACTGTGTCTACAAAAGCAGTAGGCAGGACATGTTCACTTTACTTCTCAGTCATGTATGTAAATAGTTACATTTGTGCGTAGTATTACCATCCTACCTCATTCCTCTGATTTATCAGATTGGATCCCACCTTGCAAAAATCAAGACTTGCGTGTGTGGCAGGTGTTAAGCGTGTGTTTGCGGAGTATTCATTGTCAGGAGCCAACAGCTCCTGCAGAAGTTTGTAAGCCTGCTTCTGCACTGTTTTGTTAACCCATCTAACTCTTGTTACCCAAAAGTACTCCCCAGGCTGGCATACGATGGAAGTGTGCAAATATGTCCAGGCCTGACTGTGCTTGAAGAAGCAGTTTGCCTGGACTAGGGCTGTTATATAGTCTGCTTGCTTCTACACTCCAATTGAATGAGGTGGTATGAAAATGCCACTGAAATGTCTGTTCAGAGAAGGGTCAAAGCATGCAGGACTGGTGCGAGGCACTCACCTCTGCTCTCCCCTCCTGCCATGCGCACTGTGTCCTCACTTGAAATGGTAAAACAGTAAAACTCCTTCTGCCATTGCATAATAAATAATCAGCTGAGAGAGACTGATATGTCATTTTTCTTCCTTTTCTTTTTTTTTTTTTTTTTATAAGCCAGTAGGTTGCTTTTTTGGTCACTGCCAGCAGCAGAAACACCTGTCAGGGCTACTGCGGTGCCAGTGCCAGGGTAGGGGTGAGCGAGTGGCGGGCAGAGCAGAAAGGCGGGGGGAAAGCCACTGGCTGTTAACCCAGTCTGGCTACCAGGAGAAATGTCTGTGAAACTGTGCTTTGAATGTTTGTTAACAGAAAATTTTCCCCTGCAGCTTTCCATAGCTGCTGTTGCGAAACCAGTCAAGTCAGCCATCATCCAGGCAGTTCAAATCATGGTGCAGTCTGTTTCCAAGTACACGAGGTTTTCAAGTTTCAGGATCTCAGGCAAGCTGGCACTGCACCCTCCCTGAGCGCCGGAAAAGCAGCACCGAGCAAAGCAGGCGGCCGGTCCGTGTAGTGGAGGCCTGGCGTCGGGGTGGGTTAACACAAGGGGACAGGTTGACTGTAAGTATTTGTGTAAAGCATAAATACTTGTGTGGCACTTGTAACTATTGGCAGACTGCGGTGTTCACGCAGTGAGGAGGTGTGAAGCTGGAGAGGGAGCTGGGGTGACTGTGCTTGCTGCCTGACTTGTGTCAGGCTTTGGATGAGAAAGACTTGAAGCCAGAACCTGCTGCAGTGTGACAGACTCCTGCCAGAGCAGCCTGGCTTTCAGATGCCATTGCGCTGAGCACCCTGGGCTTGGCAGGTTCACTGGACTTTGAAGGAGCTCTGTAGATACAGACCGGGATTTTCAAGGCCTGCCAGCTGGCAGTGATCAGAGACCTTGGGTTGTCTGTGTTGTCTCTGTCCTGAAAACCACACAGCACCTTCCTCCTGCAGAACTCATCCTTTGGAGGAGCTTTTGTTTAATGATAAGCTAAATCTGTAAAAGATTTGTGACATTACTTGCTTTTTTTTCACAGCCCGTTCTTTTAGCATGGGAGGAATTTGTTACTGGCTTGCACTTCTGCACCAGTGGGTCCTGAGCCCCTGGGCAAACCCTCACTGTGATCAAAGGGCAGAGCCAAGGTGGGATGGGTCATGCCAACGGTAAAGCATGCAGCATCAGAGAGACTGCATAGGCACACGTTGCCTGCAACCTTTTAACAGGGAACTTGTTGTATACGTGGGCTTTGAAGTCTGTCACCCAAAGACAACATCTTTGAGACCTGTCAGGTCCGTAGGTTGTGGCCTGCATCTTACTCTTTGGGACAGAGACTGTTTTAATTTATTTTTGGATAACACCTATTTCATCGCAGCCCACTTTGAAATGTAGTCAGTCATAACCAGAGTTTAAAAAAGAAAACAAAAACCAACAGCAACAACAACAACAAAAAACGCACCAAATTTTGGACTGTGGCTGAATAACCTAACAAACTTTCTATGGTTTCCACGGCTATTCAGCGTGCTTCAAGGACTGTATCTGAAAAAAGAAGGAGACACTGGTATTTTTCACAAATATTGCCAATTTATAGGGTACATGCTCAGTATTAGAAGCTATCATTAAACTCTCTCCAAGTAATGCATAAATGAGCTATATATTCTATTTAAGTGTTTGCTGCTTTAAATAGCAGCTCCAGGGACCCAGGACTGGAATAGCAGACACGTTGCTGGATGTAGATGAGGTTTCACTGGCAGACCTCTCTAGCATCTGGCTTAGGAAAATGTTGTTCCCCTTACAAATGCCAAAGCTGCATACCTTTTTACTTCTACCCCATAGTTTTTTATGTTATGGTGAGTGAGTATGGCCAGCAGTTGAAGTTCATTGTGGATGCTTTGGATCTGGGTGATACAGATTGAAAGGACCTTTAGGCTTAATATTTTTTTTCCCATCATTCTGAAGTGGATGGGTTATACTTTTCTAGTCTGTTTTTTTGTTTTGAAATGTTTTTATTCCATTTGTTTGCTGAATCGGTAACTTGGTGTAGCTTCCTTATTTCTTGGAATTGTAGCTGATGCTGTAAAAGTTAACTTAATTTCACTACCTATAAAAAATAAAATTGTCATTCAGCCACCACTGCCTTCTATTTTGAAAGGGTACTTGCACAATGTGCTTATGCACATAGTATTTTTAATTTCCAGCTCTGGTGCCAACATGAGACGATTCTGTTTATTCCCCACAGTTGCAGTTTTGTGTGTTGAGGGGAGGATATCTGTTTTGCAGCAGCAGCAGCTTTAGCAGCTGTGTGCTTTGAGGCCCCCATCTCCTCTGGCGTGAGATCCAGCAGTGAACTGAGAGAAGGGCAGAGTGGGAGCCGCGTTGGACTGTCCTCATTTTATGTCTTCTGCAAACCGAAAAGCTGTTGTCGAGTGAGGCAAGGTCCTGTTCACTACCCTCTTTCTGTGGGGCTGAAGGCAGGCAGCCAGAGCTTGGGTATTGCAGCAGATAGTCATGGCAAGGAACCGATAAGCTGTGAGTCTTTTCAAAACATTTCTTCAAAATGATTTGGGGCTCTTTGATCAACCGGTCTGGTTGTGAGACTCTGTGGAGTTACATCAGATGCACATGTATGCAAACACACATGTGAAACCCCCTTCATTGATGCTGGAAGCCAAAGTGTCCTGGGAGGAAAATAGTGCAAGGCAGTTTGGTGCCTGAAGGCACATACAAGACAGTGAAATTGACCTGGATTATTCTAATGTGGCACTTGTGCATTTTGAATCCCTTGTCAAGGGCTAAGAAAAGCCATCCATCTTGTACAACTCCTTGCTAGAAAGCAGAGGGGTCCTCTGAACGCCCCTGTGGCCCCTCCAAGGGCTGAGGAAACACTGGGAAAAAGCGGCCATGGGAGACATGAAGTTGCTGCTTATTGGAAGGGCCTGGCCAAGGACAGTGGACAGCAAGGAAATAATGGTCACCAGGCTAGAACCCTTTCAGGATTCATTTAGTACCTTTTTCCATGTTTAATAAAGCAACTGCGTGCTTTTTGCTATGGTTCATGGTTTTTATCTTATTGGACCCTCAGTTGCAGGTAGAAAAGAACTGAAATACACGAGAAATTCTGTCTCTAATATTTAAACATTGGAGACAGTATCAGCTAAATTGTAATTTGACATTATTTTCCTGGCAGCTGTGGATTTTTTTTTTCTTCCCGTCTTGTACATGGAATCTCCCCTTTCACCTTTGCAAAGTGCATCTAAGTTAACTGTGGAGTTGCATTTCTTTTCTGTCTTCAGTACAAGATGGTGCCATTGTGTTTTGGGTCCTTCAAGCTCAGCTATATTTTGCTTTGTTTGCAGTAAGCCAAGTATTTCCAGATTCTTTCTCTACTGCCCAAAATATTTAGATCTGTTAATGTAGTTTTTTGTTGGTTGGTTTGAGTTTTGTTTGGGTTTTTTGGTAGCTGTTGTCTGTTTGTAAAGCCAGCACAACTATCCCAAAGTGTGCCTTAAATGGTTTTCCCTCCCCCTTCTATTTGCTCAAAGCCTTTAGTAGCATAAAAAGTTCTATAGAGAAAAAAAAAATTGTGTGAGTACCAGAAAGGGCAGCTTAAATAGGACAGTACAGTTCTGGTGAATTGAAGTGGATCTATGCAGCTTGTTTTGGAACAAAACCTCCAGCAAAAACAAAAGCAAACAGTTTTGGAGTCTGTGCCTTTTGTGCAGATTTGTTTTTTCACTACAGAGGAGGGCGAGTGTATTGCAGGAGACAGAGCCTTACCATTGCAGTCCTGTTCCACTGGATGAAACATGTCAGGACCATGAGCTGCACAGAGATAGCAAAGAGCAGGATTAAGAAATCGGGAGCGGTTTCTCCTTACCCTCTTCTCTCTCATCCTTAGCATGAGCAAGAAACTGATGTGCTTAAACCCAGTAACTTTTGATATACATGACGGCCTGCTTTCACTTGAGTACTGCTCGTCTGGGAGGAGACAAATTAAGTCTTAGTTCTGGAGTTTTACAGGAAGTCTCCCAGCTTCCCTGTCTGACTTTTGCAATAGAATCTTAAAAGGGGTAATGGAATGACTTGGTTTTTTTGTCTTTCCAGCTGGCCTGCTGCTGTGGTACTGATGCTTGTTCCTTGTGCTGCATGTGCTGCCCCAAGATAAAACAGTCAACCAGCACCCGCTTCATGTATGCGCTTTACTTCATCCTGGTGACTATCATCTGTTGTATCATGATGTCAACGACAGTAGCTAACGAAATGAAAACGCACGTAAGTAAGAGAGATGAACCCATTGCTGCCCATGGGAGGAAATGGGCCTCCTTCTAGAGCTCTTTAAGTATAGGGGTACTCCCTCAGAAGAAGTGGTTAACTCCCTCCACCCATCCACTTTGAAACCCGGCAGTGGTGATTTTCTGTGCTCAGCCTCTTCCTGTTGGTTTCTCATCCATCACATGTATTTCACAACAGGAAGAGTCGAGGATCACAGGACTAGCAGCCTTCCTGCTCTTTCATTGTGCAGAAACCCACTGCTGTGAACACATCCCAGGTTTGCTGCGTGGGTGGTGTCACTAGAATCTGTTAGGGAACACATTACAGTAGAACAAGTCAGTTCACTCTAACATTGAGTTCATCTCTGGTAACTTGTTTAGCAGCAGAAGCAGCAAATTAGAAAATAATTCTTCAAGTGTTGCATTTATAATTTTAGTTCTATGTTCTTGGGACTGTGTGACAGACTACTGCAATGCACAATGGCACATATCCTTTGCAAGGGGGTTTTTCTTCAGTGTGCATTGAGTCATTGTGTTCACGTGGCCTCTAACCACAGCAGATACTGTTCATCTCTAATTGTCTTTTTAATTAAAAAGCTTCAAAAGAATAAAAGGAGCTGTGGCTAAAACTAGATTTTAAAACTTGACTTTCTTTCAGAGACTGAATATAACCATCCTAAGCTAAATGCTCACCAGTCTGCTTGTGGTCAACCATTAGACCTGTTGTGTGGTACCCATCTTTGGTTTGATTTCTTAAGCCACCCAAGTTGCTCTCAGTAGCACAAATCCTCTCTCTCACCCTCTGCAAACTACAGGAAAAGGAGTCTGTTTTTAAGTACAGGGAACAATGGATGAATTGCTTAACACTTAAAAATAAAGTTTCTGCACCAAAGTTGGCACCAGGCCTGCTTTGAGGTTGTGAATGAGCTTGCCCTGGAGTTTCAGAAGGCTACCCTTGCTGCAGGCATCTAATTGTTTTGTGTTATCTTCCCCAGAGGGAGTGCTGGTGGGTGCACGTTTAAGGCTGTTTACTCATTTAACCAGTTGCTGGTGAAGTCGGTGCCCAGCTTACCTTCTGCACTTGGTTTTGCAGCAGCACAATCCAGAAGCTGGTGGTAGGACCTTGTGCCTACAAGGCAGATGAACCAGCAGGCTTGTGATGGGGCTGGTTTGAGGGTTTCTGGGCTCTGCTGCCAGTGACCTTTCTTTCTTCCCATTGTACCCTCTTTGTATGTTCTGTCCTAATTTTATTTCATGTATTAACACTTTGCTTGAGTTATCCTAATGCCACCATCTTACCCCCAGCCACCAGAAGTTGCTGACAGTCTTGTTAAGAGCACCCAGTACAGACCTGGTGCTTGCCTGTGAGCTGCAACTTAAAAACTGTTCAACATGTGTGTGCTGAAATTGCTTGCCAGGAATTACTTTGACTTACTAGATGCTTAGCTTGGCAATAAAGTGAATAACCCAAGGAACTCAAGTGTGTGGGAAACAAATTACATGCTCATATCCAAATTTCAGAAAGTCGTTTTCCGTCAGCGGTGTAGTTTTAATGCAGCTTGTGTCCCTAACAAAAAAATACTCGCTCTTTATCCAACAGCAAAGTGGTTCAAGAAGCCTTCAACAACATGCTTTTCAGTACTGCCAAATTTCTTTTCCAGTTCATAGTCTTGAAAAGCTCAGTGTGGGAAGAAATGACACAAAGAGTAGCTGTTAGTGTGAAGTGGAAAGATAATCACTTTGTATTTGGTGTCCTTGAATGGGAAATGGACCATCTGAAAGTAGGCTTTCTTTATCTGCTCTCTAATTTAATAATTATGTTCAGGGCTGTTAAGTGTTCAAAGACTCCTGAAGCTAATTCAGTACAGTTGTAATAGAGTCCACCTTGAAAATATTTATTCAGACTAACCATTCTCAGCTTCCCAATGATGAACTGTGTTTTGAAAGTGCTGGGCGCTTGCTGATTCCTCTGCTTTTGGCTTGATGGTGGAGCACTCCTAGCTCCTGAAGCCAGACTGTAAGCAAACACTTTGCATGATGCTTCTAGGACCTCACCTTTTCTTTCTTGACAGGAGACAGAATTTTAATTAATTAATTTTTAATTATAATTTTTTAAATTCAGTATTTAAATTTTTTTTAAAAAATAGGATTTTAGTGCAGTCCTTTATGGAGCCATAATCTTGTCAGGGAACTGTGTGTCTGCTTTACCAGTTTAGAGTTAAAATGCTGATGTTATGTGAAAGGAATCTCTCCCTTTTCAGTGAGAGCTTTTTTTGGTTGATTTGCTATAAATTCCCAAGACTAAAGTAGTTCAAAAAGTATTTATTGAAGCACTTGGTCCTTTGGCATTATATTGAGAGGAAGCAGCAGCAAATGTACATCTCTTATGCACACCTTAAACAGAGACTTTTAAAAAGTGTTTGTTTGTTTGTTTGTTTTTTCAGTATCTATCCCCACGGTCATACATTCTGTCTAATAAAACACGTTTAGGACAGTTTTTCAGTTCTCAAGGTGCCCTACTCTGAAGGTGCCAGCCCAGATCTGGGGACCTGCTCTGTCCCCTGCAAGATGGCTGGAAAAATGAGGCACTGTCCCAGGAAGCTCAATTGCCACATGCTCACCAAAGTTGGCAGGTAGATGAAAACATGTGTCAGTGAAAGGACATGGTACCTGTGGAGTATTTGGTTATGGTTTCAAAACCTTGGTTCCCACTCTGACGGGTGACATTTTGAGGACATTGTATTTTGTGGTGAGCCTTAAGAATCAAACAGTGTCTTTTGTGGAGGAGTTTTTTTCTCTATTGTTTTCACTGTTCTCTACTTGTGACCTGTTCCTGCACCCACAGGACACCAAGGAAGAGAGGCCCAAAAGGTCAAATTCTGAAAAATGTGCAAATAAACCAAGGCATTTGTATTTGATCTCTGGGGAAGAAGCAAGAGGCAATGAAGGGGTAGGGAAGAAGTGGATGATTTTGACCAGGAAAATATTTTGAGCAGTAGTGTGTAGAACAGATTTCAGAGGAGCAAGGCTGTGTATCAAGGCAAAAGATGGGGTAGAGCATCAGTCAGGGCATGAGAGCCTCAGTGATGGGGACAGAAAGACAGAAAAGACCAATATGCAGCTACACAAAATGGTTTACAGACTTGACTCTGTTCCAAAGTCAAGGAAAGCAGGAGCCAACTTGAAGAAAGGCTTCTATGCCTTGATCCATACATTATTTCTTTTTTCCAGTTACTCTCTTTTTTTGAAAAACAGGTAGAGCTTTACTCACAAATGTTCTGTTGTAAGCAAAACTTTGCATTTTACAGGCTTTGAAAGGATAATTGAGAGAAGAAAAGGGAGAGAATTGATTTGGTCTGTTGAAATAGTGCTTTGATTTTTTTAATTAAATTTTTACTGTTAAAGCTGTTTCAAAATTGGTGGTTTCACCATGAAAGTATCCATGTCCTACTTAAATAGTGAAGGGGAAAATAAGAAAATATGTTTTCAGGAAAACAAACACCAGTAAAAACCAGTTGTGTCAAAGTATTTCGGTTCCAGATGGTTGCATGTTCTGGCAGAGCATGTCTGCAGACTTGTTTCCCCAGCCAGGTTTATGTGTTGGCCCTTAACTCCATTACAGTATGTTAAACCCCAAATTTAGTTTTTTAACTCCAGATGACCATTGCCTATTTCTGGTAAGAATTTAGCCATAGATGCAAGACAGTATGTGGTTTGGTCTGATTGGTTTTTGGTTTTCTGTACCATTTCTCAGCTGCTCAAGACAGGTGGTTTTACCTGGTTTCGTACCCTTCTTTCACCACCTATCCAGATTTCCTTTCATGCTTCCTCCAGTTCCATAGCAAAGTTAATTTGCCACGTTCTCCCTCTGTTGGATGAGGACATCCAGAGGAAAGCAGTCTCCTTTGGGCTCTTCAGGGCCTATTTCTACACACTTCTTCCTTCCTATTACCCCTCTGATGCTATTTCCCATGCTCCTGCATTCACTTTTGGGTGCAGACAGACCCAAGCTCAGAGGTGGCCAACACCCAGCCAGATGGAGCCCGGACACAGTGTGTACGTGTTGGCTTGCTTCTCGCACTGCATTTATTTACAGCAGCAGCAGCTTCCAGTGAGGAGAAAGAAAGTTCAGGGCAGTCTGTCCCCGGTTCTGTAGATGTTGCCATCATCTCAGAGGGTTTCACTGCACTTGGAAAGTTACTGGCTTTGCAACGGAGGCATTTACATTATCTGAGCAGATACTTAGTTTCTGTGGCCAGAATGCTTAGTCCCCTACTTAGAGGCCAAAGAATTTAGCTTATTTTGCTTTTAAAGGTTTAAAAGTAGACAATTCACTGTATCAAACTTGGCAAATAACTAATCTGTGACTTTAACGGCTGGCAAAACTACCCAGCACATCGAAAGTCTTTTTTAATTTATTTTTTTAATTTTCATTGAAGAAGTCACGTAAGCCTTGATAAATTTTTCCCATCAGTAGATCATCCTTTCATGAAAACATGCCCGTTTCATTACATCAGCCCTTTTGTCCCCAGCATTGTGCTTGTGTTTATTATCTGCCAGGGTACCCAAGAATTTGGTTTTATACTTGTTTTGTTCCTTCAGGATCATGGGTCTCCAAAAAGGGCATTCAATCCCGCAGGGCTATTCCTGTGGCCATCACTTATTACTTCATAGTGTTGTGCATACTACATGATGGCTGAGCTCTTTGTTGCTTGTGTAGGCACAAACTGAGCTATTGTTCTTGTGAATCCATCTGTTTTCTCTCAGCCAGAACTGTAAGGAAATTACTGCTAAATGGAGAAAAGAACATATAGGGTCAAAAACCCCATCAAGATCTGTGTAGAAACCTATGCAATTAAAGAAGATGCCCATTTACAGTTACCCAGAGATCTGTTTTTGATTAGCTAGTTGATTAAGCAAGTTACATGGTATTTTTTTGTTTTGTTCTATAAGTCTTGTAAGCAAAATGCTGCTTGGTGCAAAGTACAGTTCATATAGAAATCTGCCTCCTTGGTCAGTACTGTTGTCTATATCAAGCAAATATCTAATTTTCACAGAAATATTGTTAGTTCAATATTATGCATCTTTTTAATCTCTGCTGACTGATGGCTATTATAAGCAAAGATCTGGAAAGTATTAATTGATAGCCCAGTTGCTTTCCCTGGCATTGCTGTGTTCCCTTGGCTTATTGTGTCATCACTGTGGCTTTGATAGGTCTCTTAATTGTTCCAGTCGGTTCATTTGCTCGTTTTGAATGCTGGCATGTTTACCTAGTTTGACGTTTCATTGCCTTTCAAGACCTGGGAAGGGCGTCACTGATGCTCCAGAGAGTTTCTCATGAGCTCTCTAAAAACTCTTAGGTGCAAGTTAGCCTCAGCTACCTGTTTACTGTCCAGCTTCTTATGCAGTCGCTACTTATCTGTGAGTTACTTGTGAAAGACTGTATCAGGGTGGCCCAGCTTCAATCTGTTCTTGTAACACCATATGGCTGTGTTGAGACCTGTGTTTCATCTGCTTGGCTGGTTCTAGCCCACCTAGGATTAGCTTGGTACTATAGGTAGGTTTGCTACCCTTAGCACAGCAACTCAGTGTTGCTGTGAGCTGCTATTCTTTTGGGGAAACTGCTAGGAGGGTTGTTGAGCTCCTGACTTGTTAGGGTTGCTGGCACAGGATGGGAAGTTGCATACTCTACGGAGGGAAGCAAGCTTTCAGAGCCTGGTGGCTGGAAGCCAGCAGTTTACGTGTTTATCCCTTGTTTCACGCATGTCAGATGGCTTTCTACCCAGCTCAGAACACTGCCTGATCGCTTGCTCTCGAGTCCTGTTTTTTCTTTCCTTGTCTTGGTTTTGCGTACTGACCTACCTGCTGAAGGAAGGAGAGACTCCTATCTTTGCTAATTTCTTTGAAGTGGTTAGGGATAGTGTTGCCCACAATCTTTGAATGTTTTTCCTTGGCAAAATCTGGCCTGGCTGAATGCTTTCTGAAGTCTGAGTCCCATTTGCTTTGCCCAAATTTATTTGTGCATATTGTGTCCTGGCAAACTTTGTCTTCTGCCCCTTCCAGTTACCTGTGCAGGTTGCAGCAGTCAGCTTCAGAGAGTTTGATGTGTTGCTCAACTGGTCTCACCAGCCTCAGCTTAGGGCTGTGAGCACACAGAGAGGCCCTTCTTTCTTTGAAACGAATGGTGGTTTTCTAATTAAATGCCTGTATTTCTGCACGGCTGAATGGCTCCCTGGCTGTGAGGGGGGTGTCTGCACAGAGGCACCCCACAGGAGTGGGTCCTGGCCACACAGACCTGCTTTTTTGAGTGCCCAGCATCACGTCCACCTAGTGAAACTGAAGCCAAAATGTGCAACTGTTTGCTTTCCCCTTGTGGCAAGAGCAAGGCCTCAAAGGCAAATATTTAATGAGTCAAGGGAAAGGTGGAATTTTCCTGCCTTTCTGTTAATTTAAAACAAAGTCAGGGAAACAGGCACAACTCCCTTTTGGAGGCTATGATGGAGGCCAGGGGGCTTGCTGCCCCTGTGCTACTTGGGTGTGCTTCAGTCTGCGTTTCCAACAAGGGCAGCATGAGCCAGAGCTTCATGCCTTGCAGCCCCATTCATTCCCCTTTGGCTGGTAAAACTGCAGGTATGGGTCATGTAAGCTGTATTACTGAAGCAAACAAAGTCTTTTGCTGTAAAGCATGGGAAGCAGGGAGAGGTCCTCGGGATGAAGGGATAAGCAGTAGAAGGTAGGGATGGCTTAAGCCAACAGAGCAGAAGGAAAGGTAAGTGTACTTGTACCCCAAAGCATCTAGAAGGAGTTGAGAGTTGAGGCTCTGGAAAACTCCAGTCCCTTGTGTTTTACATTTCTTTATGTCCCTTGAACCCTTAAATCCAGGCTGAGGGGTATCAAGAGTGAAAGGTGCCAAATGAAGCCAGTGGAAAGTCAGTGGTGCTTAGACAAAGACATGCTTAGTTACAAGAATCCCCATGTCCTATCTAACTGCTTGTAATGTGTTATGCTTTTCAGATTCCCTTCTACAAGGAGGTGTGCAAGGGTATTCAGGCAGGTGAGATGTGCGAGAAGTTGGTGGGATACTCTGCGGTGTACAAAGTCTGTTTTGGAATGGCCTGTTTCTTCTTTTTGTTCTTCTTGTTCACCATCAAAATTAACAGCAGCAAAAGCTGCCGGGCATACATTCATAATGGGTGAGTATTTGTTTCATTGCATAACTTCCACTTCTCTTCACAGCTTTGTGCTGCCTACTTTCCATTTGGGTATAGTAGTATGCAAAAAAAACCCCAAAACAACAGTTGATTTTACTGCTTTTGTCAGAAATAATGCAGTCAAGTGAAAACTGACTGAAGTGGCAATCAGTCATCGAAGGCTGTTTTTTCTCTTCTTGGTCTTTAAATAGGGATTTCTCATGGTATTTGAGTTGAAGGCCTCTAATTCCTTTTATGACCAGATTATTTTTTTTTTCTTCTCGTCCAGATTCTGGCTCATTAAACTTATACTTCTGGCAGCAATGTGCTCAGGAGCCTTCTTCATTCCCGATCAGGACACTTTCCTCAATGGTATGTCTTTCCTGATTTTTTATGCTGCTTTGTTCTGTGCTACCTTGTGAAGTGGTTATAGATCTTAAAGGTTTGATCAACTTGAATATAGCTGTATTTCTTCAAGTAGCACCAGTATAGTCCAGGTGCAAAAGGAATATATATAAAGCTGTCTGGGGAGAGCTCTGTGTGCCCAGAGTACGTGGTCTTCATGTGAATGTTCAGTAAAGAGCATGTTTTCTTCTGAACAAGAGCAGGCCAAATGGGTAGGTAAAAACATAACTGCAGTGCTGTCTTGCAAGTTCTTTAAGAAGCAGGGAGCTGTAATGGCACACAAGACATTGTTGACTCAAGAAGGCAGAGCCTCGTGTTAGTTTGGCTTGTGCAGGTAGCTCTGCTGTAGCGCAGCAGCTGGGGTCCGTGATGCACAGTGGAGAGGTGCCAGTGCTCAAGGGGGCACAGTGACCTGCCAGGCACTGGTGTTTGCTGACAGAAAACCTGCAATGCTGCAAAAAAATTTGGGGTGTTGTTAGCTTTCAGACTGGTGATGTAAATGCAGTAAGGTAAAATTAGACTTCTTGGGGTGTGTTGGGAGTGCTCTGCTGAGGATGCCATGCTTGAAGCATTTCCAGTTCTGGAAGACGCCCTGGCACCACATAGGCATGCTGGTACTGGTGCAGTGCTTAAATGCCAGCTCCAGGGTGGGGAGGGGAGGAGGGGGCTCTTCTCACAGGTCTCTTGTGGTCCAGGACCAAAAATCCTGGTGATACCGAGATGAGTTTGTGCTCTTCAGGTTGCCAGGTGCTTGCAAGCCCTTTAGCTGTTGAGTCTGGGCAGGTGGGGAGGTGTGGAATCAGTAATGCAAAAGAGCAGCTGTGTCTATTGCCTGCTTCCACTAGGGCGTGCTTGGTTTCCTGTGTTTTCAACATCGATCTCACCTAGGCAGGTTATTTAAAAAGGGAAGAGGAAGGAGTAGTGGGGGAAGAGAATAGAGTGGGCAGATGTACTATGAGCACAGTGCTCTGAGAAACTAAGGTAAAAACCACTTCAAGTAAGCCACTGAGATAGATGTAATTCGGCTTCTTGCTCTTACTGTCTGTTTGGTCCTGGTTCAGTTTGATGCCCCAGAAGTGAAGGGCTCTTTATCCCTTTTCCTGTCTGTGAAGTCACAGGATGGCTGTATGTACTTGTCCTTAGTAGCTAATCACTGTGTAGGTCAGAAAGATGTAGCGGTGTAATAATTGTAGGAGCAAGCGAGGCTGCCTATCATCTTTGCAAGCAACCCTTTTCATGGTGAAACATTGTCAAGAAATTATGTGTTTGGGGAAAAGGGGAAACATAACTTTCTGTGTTGATTAGAGTGCTGTTTTTCAACAGCAGTCTAACCTAGTGTGGAGATGCACTGTAATAAGCTTTCTTCCTTGAATGAGCTATTGACTTTTCTCTCTAAAGATGTATTCTGCACATCCTGCTAAACTGTCAGCCCCAGAATTTGAGATTTACAGATGGTTTGGGTATTGTGTGGTTTTGTTTTCACTTTTTGTCCCCTCCCATCAAGAAACATACACTTGTTTTGAGTATTCCCCCAGTTGGTTTTTTTTTTTTTTCTTATAAAAAATATAAAAGCTCTTGCCATGCTACCTGTGCTTAGCTGTTTGTTAATCATGGAGGAGCAGTATTATTACCTGCAAGCACTAAGTTTGTGTGGGCTGTAGTGTTAATATCCACACTGGCTATGCTAACTTGATCTATGATGGATCCATAGAACATCCTGCCTGTGAGAGTGGGAGATCCTGAAAGTCTGGCTGTTTAATTACTCACTCAATTGATGGTCTGTTTTTTCCTACTCTGCCTCTCCCAAACACCTTGTTCCCTGCCTAATTTTTGTGTACTTTTTTGCATGCAAGCTTCTTCCATTTTTTGTTTTGTTTCTTTGAAGAACAGCATTCTTATCAAGTGTATACAATAAGTTTAGCAAAACCAGATAAATGGTATTTTTGCTTGCTTTCAAATAATCAGCTTATGGTACAGTTATTAAAAAAAAAAAAATCTCTTAAGGGTAAGAAGCCCTGACTGTTCAGTTCTTCCACTTCTCTTATACAAGCTTTTTTCAAAAGGAAAACACAATGGTAGGATATGGCTGAACTTTGCTAATGCACTTCCTTAGTCTTTTTCACTTGAATCAGCTGCACACCTGGAGTCATCTGTAGGCTATACACTGCACAGCAGCACAACCTGTATAAGCAACTAAACATTTAAGAAGGTATCTGTATTTCGTCAGAGACTTCTGATGTTGCACATAAGAGATCTCTTGTCTGAAGTATTCAAACAGCTACCCAGATACAGTATTTGTAGGTCAATGGTTAAGTAATCAAATAACCTGTCTTAAAACTAGTCAGTGAATACCAAGAGTTCCCAACTCTTTGGGAGTGGCTCAGGACAGCATTTCTAAATAGATAAGCCCCACCTTTGTTTTTCTGTGGTACTGGAATCTGGAAGGGAAGAAATTCCCCTTTTTAATACTGGGTTCCAGTACCTTGCAATTTCAGGGTTTAGATTCCTCTGAAATGCCCTCACACAACCTCCCTCCTGCCAGTCACAAATAAAGGTTTCAGTATTTTCTGTCCGAATATAGTAGCTCATAGTCTCCGCAAAAATTCTCTAGGTTAGGGAAACTCTGTAAATGTTCTAAGAGACTTATTTTGAAAGTGTAGCAAGTTGCAAGCTAAATTCATCAGGGAGCTAATTTTGTGTTAGCTGAGCTGGCCTTTCAGGTAAAATCTTTCATCTCCTGCTACATCTGTGGTCTTGAGATACTCAGACTGCGTAACGGCTTCACTGCATAGACAGTAATTCCATTTTATCTCAAGGGAAAGGCAATTGCAGTTTGACCTATTTTCTGCCTCTCTGCCTTGCAGCCTGGCGCTATGTAGGAGCAACAGGAGGTTTCCTTTTCATTGCCATTCAACTCATCCTGCTTGTTGAGTTCGCACACAAGTGGAATAAAAATTGGTATGTGTTGGGCAAGTAGTTATTTGCATAAAATTCTGGTGGACTCCTGAACAATACATATAACAAGTAATTTGTAAGTAGCATGGATGTAATTTCTGAAAGAAAATACTTTAATGTCAATATTTAGAGCTGTTAATCTTTACTTCATCCACTTTTCTCCTTCCCCAGCAGAGATGTTTCTGATTTATTCAGTTCTACTCTGCTGATTTATTTTTAACCCAAATTGCTCAGCTTCCAATAAGTAGTAGCATGTTGGGATGCAAAAACCTTTTTACTTTAAGTTGTTTATATTTTGTGTGAAAATAGCCTGCTAAGAAACAGAGTGGTGCAAGAGGATAAAACTGGATTTGCAAAATATAACAGTGAAACTGTGTGCAGTGATGTAAACTGGTAAATCCTGTTTTTCTCTGTTGGCTTAATGCACATCAATTTTTTTTTTACCTTGACATGAGAACTGCTGCTTTCTCTTCAACTTCTCTGCTTTTGTCTAAATATGCAAGATTTCATTATTGGCCCACATATACCCCATTTTGACATTGACTTCATTTCTGGCTTAAGCATATTTGTTCTTACCTTCCAAGCCCTCAGCCTCTCATCAATTTAAAATATTTCAGTGGTCCTCCCACATGTACACAGGGACTCCTGCCTCCACATCCACCCTTTCTGTCTTTTACTTCTTCCTCTACAAACTTTTGCAGTCCTCTCTTTTTCTAGTTAGCATACTGACTGCTAAGAAGGAGTTTTAGCAAACCTTTGGGCTTTGTTAGACACCTGTTTTCAGGGAGGAAGATGTGACATACCACAGATATTTTTACTGCTAATTAATGTAGCTGCTTTTCTGTGAATGAAAGATTTCCCGCAGCAGCATTTAACTTTAGCACTTTCTACATTAGATACTCTTTTAAAATAAAGCATGTTTCCACAAAACAAAACAAGAACAACAAAACGTAAAAAAACCTTCCATGCACCAAAAAGCCCTTTGTGCCAAAACAAATTTTTTCATTGCTACTCCTAAAAAAAAACAGTGATCTTTGCAAGAGGTGTTTGGAAGGTGAATAGAGGAAAACAAGATGGAGACCACACTTTAGCTGAGGGAGACTGGTGGGATGGACCCAAATGGAGAGGAGGCTTTCTGAGTGAAAGGGTAGTAAAACTGTCAAGGTAGCGTGAGGCACAGAAGAAAAGCCCTGCCAAGGAATATGCCTTTGCTGTCCTTGAGTGATGAGCGCCACTTGCTAACTGAGCCAGGGGGACTCCAAGTTCCTGCTGAGGACATCCCTGAAGTATTGAGCTGAGATGTGCTGATAGGTTGATCCCAGAGATGGGGAGTTCTGGGAGTCACGCTGGGCTATAATTAGAGAACATCTGGGCATGATAATACAGAAGATAAACACTAATGCTAAGGAGTGTTTTCCTCTGTTTCATGGGAGGAACCTTGCAAGAGCCTGTTGTGATGTAGAGACGTATCTTTGCTTCAGGAAAGTAAGCAATGTCTTTTGTGTTTGAGGATATGAACTATTTGCTATTAGCAATTTTTTTTGGGGGGGGAAGGGAAGACAAAGATAAGGTGCTTTTCTCTCTCTCCCCAGGACGGCAGGTGCAAACCACAAGCAGATGTGGAATGGTTTGCTTGCCCTGGTCACTCTCATCTTGTACTCCATTGCTGTGGCAGCCCTGGTCCTCATGGCTCTTTTCTACACACATGCAAAGGGCTGCATGTACAACAAAGTCCTGATCGGTGTTAACGGTGGCCTGTGCCTCTTTGTTTCACTGGTGGCCATATCGCCCTGTGTCCAGAATCGTGAGTCCACTGACCTATTCTCCTCACAGGTTTCTTATGCTGCCACAGTTATGTGCCTGGAGGCATGAGCTGTATTCTGGGCAGAAAGTCTCATGACAGTTCAGAGCTGGTGCTGCTCTTGCCCCTGTCCCTTTATCTACACTGTGAAGTGCTGTTGCTGGTCATCAGCTCGGCTGCTAAAACTGCAGAGGTGTGACATTTTGGGTGTGCCATCAGGCAATAATATGGTAAGGATGGCTCACGTGCTGATGGCTGGTAATGTGTTGTGGAGCTTACACAACTCTTGCAGTGGTAGCAGTTGAGGTAGTAGCTGTCAAACTCATTCACCACTGCTTTACTATTTACTTTTGACTGCTTGTGATTTACCATCTGTAATGTTTGGGCCTGGAGGAGCTGACAGCAGTATTTCATGCTTCAGTATATTTTATGTGTGCTGTTAGTATCCTGCATACATTGGACCTGAAAATAGTAATCTGAGTGACTCCAACACAAATTTTACGGGCAAATAAAACTCGCATGGCAGCTTGTCAATAGCTTTTGGAAAGCTGGTGCTTTTGGTGAGAGCAAGAGGTGATTCTTTATTTGCATGGCAATTTTTAATGCCTTTCCAAAACAGCTAGCAGAACTAGAGGACAGACTCTTTTCTTTTTACATGACAGTGGAAACGTATCTAAACTGCCTCAAAGACTTATGAACTGCTTTAAGTAAAACATAAAAGATACTCTTCTCTTCTGAAAGATACTAGTGTGCTGTTCTTTAAAGGATATGAATTTTTTTTTCAGTCTGTTAAAATGTTTGCAAAAAACACTTAATTTCCTCTTTCTTGTAAAGGCCAGCCCCATTCTGGTTTGCTGCAGTCAGGAGTTATCAGCTGCTATGTTATGTACCTCACTTTCTCAGCGCTATCCAGCAAGCCACCAGAAACTAGTAAGTTATCTAAAGCTTTATGTAAATTATTTTAAAAGCAAGAATTTAGCAAACCTGAATTAACAAATTCAGGGATATAGGAGTGCTGGGTTTGGTCTGTTCTGGCCTATGCAGAAGAAATTACAAATACTAAAAATAAATCTGTGCAGCAGAGAGATCATGCAATTGGCACTCTCCATGTACCTTAAATGCTGCGGTCTAGGGGAGCATAACTTACCTTGGGTGAGTTGCATCTGTTGCAGGAGACCAATTCCAGTCTGGTTCCTAATCATCAGATTCAATCTATTTGGACAGGGAACATTCTTTTCACTTTTAACTCAAGACTTTTCTCATTCAAATTAGTAATGCTGAAACCCACTTCTTTATTATTGCTCAACTTTAGTGTTGAATAGTTGAAACAACAATAACTAGAGAAAAATAAGTCCATTGGCAGGAAGAAGTTTTTACAGACGCCTCCCAAGAAGAAAGGGGAGAGATGGGGGAAAGAATTATTCTCTGTCACACTTGTGTAGGCACAGGCAAACATGAAAACGTATTCTAGAGCTAGGAAGGAAAAACAGTATTTAGGTGGAAGATATACTTCTGGAGCTTAAGCAGTGTTTCTGAATGAATATAGAAGTTAATTTAGAAGGCATCTGAATTACTCATAAAACTTGAAACAGTGTAAAAAAAAAAATGGGGGAATAAAATTATGTATAGTATTAAATCATTGTCCTAGTGTTCCTTCATGCTTGCAACAGTCAAAGCCTTCAGCTGTTAAGTGGATGCTCTGAATCTTCTTGTATGTATTGCAAGTGTGGTTAGTGCATTTGTTAGAGTATGAGTCAAGCACATCTCAGACCTCCTGAATCAGATGTTCCTCCTTGTCTTCCCAGGCCAGAGAACTCTCATGGTTGTCGTCTGCTCTCAGATACGCTCCTTTCTTCCTTATCAGTACAATTAGGACTCATACTGGCCTGCAGCTTTTGCAGTGGCATGTTCTGGAGTATGTGTGAGGTGCTGGCACTTACTAAGGTGTCCCATGCCCTGTCACTCAGATTTGCCATAGACTTACCTAATGTTCACTCGTTCCTCAAGGAGTGACTTTCAAATAGGCCATCTTGCAAATTGGCCACCTTACAAACCAGGCCTGAAGAAAATGCAAGCTACAAGTATTTATTTTGCAACACACAAAAAACAGAGTTGCAAATGTCTTTAGAAAGAATGGGCAGTCAAAAGGTAATGTCTGTTACCTTTTGTTTGTGCTTATCACAGAAGCCTTAGCTTTTTGGTGCCAGACTTAGATAAAAAACCTGCCGGACAGTGGACCTGCCTTGCTGCAAAGGCATCTGGGATAGCCACTGGTGCGGCATTCTGCACATCTCTGGCCAAGGTGTTCCATAAAGGCTTGTCATCCTGTTGTCCCAAATCTGGGATCATTCACCCGGTGTGCAATAAGCCAGTCTCACACACAGAGTTTAGATACTGTGTATTTCATATTTGGGCAAAGATGGATGCTGGGTGGTAATTTCACAAAGCTAGCATATACCCATTACAGTCACATTGTATATGTGAAATTTATTACGTGTGCTCAGTGAGTGAGGGTCTTAATTCAGGAAGGGTCGACCAGACACTTAGAGGTGTGGTTTTCACATTATAATGAGATAGTTCATCCTAAGAGCACTTTAATCTAACCATTTTAGGACTTGTGATAAACAGATTTAACAAAGCACCCATGCTCTGGGTGTTTTACAGTTAAAGGACAGCAGTTCCTGCAGTTCCTGATTAGGGGTCCTTCATTAAATCACTCTTATTGTCTTGAAAAACAGACTGACTCAGCACTATCTTACTGTTCACATATTTTTGGGGTTAAAAGTTTAACTTCTTAGTTGCCAGATAACAATCCCTTCTTTTGCTCCCGCCTCTGTGCTGTTCCTGCTGTGTACTGCTAAAGCTGTTTGTGCAGCCCTGCAGGGCCATGCAGAGTCCTCCCCCACCAAGTCAGGGGACTGACTTTGAGTTTATTTTTAACCTGGGTGTAGCCTTTGCTGCATTTTGCCTTCTGTCCCTACAAACAGTTGTGCAGTCCCAGTGGGGATGCAGTTTGGCTGCTGGAAGTAAAGAGGAGATAGGAACACAGTTTGCCTTAAACAGCGTTGTCTCAAAAAGCTCTTGATTTGAGATAAGGTGCAGCTATAATCTCTTGCTTTGGGGTGATGCTGCAGGCTACGACTCTGCCTTGTCTTGACTTCAAGCAGACACCAAAAAGCTAGATCTATCTTGTAATTGATTATCAAGGACTGAATTGGGTTCATTTCAGGGACCTGGAAGTAGTATTTGCTTAGGTGTTAAAATCTTGCCAGTAACTGGTGCATCTCCTTTTCTTTGGTCTTCTCTACATCAGTCTGAGAACAGGGTGACTATACACCACCTTTTTTCACTGAGTATGAATTTCATAGTTGTCCTCAAGGCACCCTGCTGTCAAAGAAGTCTATGGTCCCAAGTCCATACTATCTTGGTATTGTATGGCTCTGTAGTCTTGGGTGAAGTGCTGATAAACTTCCAGCTTCTTATTTCTTAGTTAACCAGTCTTTTTCTTCATTTGTCTGCCCAGGTCAAACAGGAAATTTCACTACCCTACTAAGTTGTGTTTTTGCTGTGCCCAAAACACAGAATCTGCCAGGTCAGATTTACAGAATTTTTTGTGTAAAATCTTTTTAAAAGATAGATAGAAACAATTGAAATGCTCCTACCCAGTGTCTGAAGTAATGAAAATAATTCACTGAAAACCTTCAGTCTGAAGACTGCTTTGAAATGCAGTGAAACGAGCTTTGCTAACTGTTCTTTTTATTTGTTTTATTTTGTGAAGTCCTGGATGAAAACAATCAGAACATAACAATCTGCGTACCTGAATTTAGTCAAGGCCTGCACAGAGATGAAAACCTGGTTACTGGCCTGGGTACTACCATTTTGTTTGGCTGCATTTTATATTCTTGGTAAGTCTGGGGGTTTGCAGTTACCTCACTGTAAACGCAATGTTGTGGTCCAACTAGCAAAGGCTTATACCAGACCTCATCCAGACAAAGTAATGGGGAGAAGTAGAATAGAAGTGAGCTGGAAGGTTCATATTCTCCTCAGTTTCAGAATGGTTAGATGTTTTAGCCAAAAATGTTCAACAAGATAACTTTTGAAACAAATAAATGTATTTCATTAAAACCAAACAGAGCAATTTACATCTAGAGACGGACGGAAAAAAATTCCAGCTGTCCTTGATCCCAGAGTCTCAGGGTGCTTTGATTCTGTTTTTACTCTTCTATAAGAAAAGCTCTACACAGTTACGACCAGCTAAAAAAGCTATCTGAAATTTCTGTAGCTGCCTGGCAAAGGCTCTGGCTGTTCCTTGAGGGTCCTTAAAACAAATAAAACTGTCTGGGAGGATTTAGGGCTTCCTTTGAACAAGTGATGAGCACAATACTGCCATCAGTATTTGCCAGCGATCTCCTGCTCTAAAAAAAAATCTCTTTGTGCCCATATACTTTTGATGCTCACCTTGTAGTATTGCAGCTCCCATCAATAGATTAAATCATGCTCTGGGACAGGGACGGGGCGGACTTGCTGATAATTGAAGGGTGATGTGTCACTTGTTTAGGCTGTGTGTGGGTTGCCAGGAGGCAGCACTGCCTGTCTGCTGCAGGTTTTCAAGCAGGTCCTGCTTCACAATCTGTCCACTTCAAAATTCACATACTGAAACTCCATAATTTCAAAGTGAAAATTAGAGACTTTCTGAGGAAGGTAGCACAGCTACTCCTCTGCGATCAAATATGCATATCTGTTCCATTTATCAAATGTATGGATATCATGGATCTAGTTCACATCAGAACAGTATTTCCAGTGCCTCAGGAAGGTGTTTTGGGAATGCTAACAACCTTCACCTAGCCTGCAGGGGAAGTGCAGCGTGTAGCTGGGTAGATGGTAAGGCCTTCAAGGGGAATGTTTTGAAGTATTGCTTACTAAAGCTCAGTGTGTACAGCAAAGCATTAGCACACCTCTCCCTGTGGGTAATGAGAAGTTTCCAACCCAAACAATTCTATGAGTACACATCCTGAAAGGGGAAGACTGGGCAAGAAATGTTTCTAGTCAGAAGAAACTGGAAAGGATTCCCCCCAGACAACTACAATCATACAAGAAAGTGACTTCCAACAACTGCTACATTGACAATAATGGTTGGTAATTTACTTTTGAAAACTGACTGCAGCCAGTGACCTGTCACTTTGCTGGCAAAGGCTTTACAGAAATGCTGAGCCAAAGCTGTGGCTGTGAAGTTAATATAAAAGGACTGGTTGTGCACAGCTGGGGAGATTTCTTCTGCATTGCAAATTGGAGCGCTTAGCTGTTTGCTGCTGTCTGATGGTGATGAATTCACCACCTTTCAGGAGTGACCTACTTTTAAGCTTGTGATTCAGCCTGAGTTGGCCAATGGCTGTCTGTCAGGCTGGTTTATACTTGTGCAGAAAAACTTGTTGCATGCTTAGTGCTTGATGCTATATCCAAGCAAATTATTAGCTCAGACATGAGAGCAGACTATTTATGTTTGCTGTGGTGTTGAAAAGGCACCCTGTTGGGGTTATACGTATGCTGAGGGTTTTGACACTATCTTTTTTTGCTCCTAGTTTGACCTCAACAACACGTGCAAGCTCAGAGGCACTGAGGGGAATATATGCAACACCTGAAACTGAAGTGAGTTCTTGCTTCCTCCCACAGGATTTCTGTGCAGACTTCCTTATCTGCTTTTCTTGCTGTTGTTTTCATGGCTAAGGAGATTGTAATTAGGTGAAAACAAAAGCTTTTTCTACGTGCCTCTGGGTATGGACTCCTCAGAACACGTGTCCACATTGGCCCTTCTGCAGCTCTTGCTGGGCCCATGGAGGGGTCTTTATGTACTGAAATAATTTGTTGCTCTTGCAGTTTATTTAACATCCTGCAGGCTTCCTGCAAATCTTGTGCTCCACACAAGCTCATGTCCTCTCATTTAAAGGAAGAGTCTGCTGGGAAGCCGTCAGAAAAAGAAGTGGAGGCGTTCTTGAACGTTTTCAGTCCTGGTTGCCTTTGTTCTCATAGCAACTGACTATGATCCCAAATTATTATCTCTTATTTCCACACACAAGTACTTACTTTCTTTTTGCCCGTAATTTCACCTTGGATTATATTTCTTGTCCCTGTTTCAGCAGTGCAGGTTTCTTCATTCCACCTGCCTATTTCTATGGCCGCCTTATCCTGGAAGCACCCAGAAGCACTGGGAAATTAGTGGGTTTTTGCAAAGCAACAGTTACCCCTTGTGTGGGCTTGCTAGTTTCACACTTCAAATGTATGTGTGTGTTCGGAGGATGAATCTCCCATTGCTAGCTCTCTCTACATTGGTGTTACTTGCATCTGCAGTTTTAACTTCTGTTTTTCAAGTCTTTAATCAGTGCTTGTGAGAATCCAAAAATGCAGAAGTATCTGCTGAGGCACTCAGTGTTTGGAGTAGCTGCGTGCGGGGAAGCAAAATGCGTTTCGCTGTGGGAGTGGTCAGTGCTGCAGGAGCTTCCCTCTGGCAGGATGGTGCCACTGGACAGAGTGCTGGTGCCAGCGCTGAGGAGCTAAGCGCTGGGTGGCTCCTTGCACTGGACACAGCCTTGCAGGCAGACAGCACCCAGACGTGGCTCATCCCCTCTCAGGCAGGACATACACCTTCTGGCCCTGTGCTGAGAAGTGACAGGCTGGGGCCTGGGGGGACCAGAGAGAAAACAGCCACCCTTCACACTCACCCACCTCCTCTGCCAGCGTCAGCTGTAGGACATCTCGTCCAAAGGGCCTGGGGCTGCAGTGCGCCCCGCGGCAGGAGCGCGGGCAGGCTGGGTCAGCTGGCATAGTACAGATGCTGGATGTGGCCCCCTCACCAGGAAAGTCCAGCGCGTCTGCCAGAGAACTTGCCAGCGGGATAATTTCCGCACCACTTACTTTTAAAGAGCGGTACAAGAGCCATTGAACATAAATATAAAGAAATGACTGGTGAAGAGCAACTAATTGGAGTCTGATTGCCTTCCCAGTGGCAAAGATCCTTTGTCTCCTGGCTGGGAGCATGAACACAGCTCTGCAGTTGCTTGTGTTGTGCAGAGGGTCTGTAGGCGTCTGTGCTGAAAACAAATGAGTGTTAGAAGGGGCTAACAGTATGTGTGCCAGCATTGCTAATTTCATCACTCTGTGTGTGCAAGGACTTAACTGCAACTAATTAAAAAGTTTGTGAGAACCCATCACTTGCTTCAGAATGTGAGTGCAGCCCAAGGGGAGCTCAGGCTGGTACTGCAGGTGAGGCTTGGCATAGCAGTAGAAAGAAATACGGAATAAGGGTTTTATTTAAACTCTCAGACAGTCTCTTAAAAAGAATGAGCTTTTTGGCTTTTCATGAGTTTATGAACCCAATGAGTACATGTAATTGAGGATGCACAGAGTAAAATCTGCCATTTTTCTGTTGGATACTTTACTTTAAAGGCGTACTATTTGATTTTTGGAGGTGTTAGGAAGACTTGCAACTGGCCCATGCCGACCAAGAGAGAGGCTACAATTCATAGAACTACAAGGGTAGAATATTTATTCATGTGCATGACATGGCCATGCCAAATTGGGGCATGCCGAATGTGGTTTTACACAGGGTCCTTGTACCCTTCAAGCATTCAGGTACAGCATGATTTGACTAATCACTAACACCACACTTATGCATGGACAGCTCTAAGCTTCCAAGAAGAAAAGTTCTTATTTCCAGGGCCAGGCTGTCCTTTAGCTTGTTTTACTTAATACCAAAGTCTCCAGTAAAACTCAACTACTTCATTACATTGCAGTGTATACTGTGAATTAATTTATATTGACAAAGTTAATACACTTTCGTACAGTGAAGACTGATTGCTATAATAGGGAAGGGAGTTTTCCTGACATAGTTCATTGTCTTCATCAGACCACAACCAAAATAAATCCCAGAGTAGGATTTTATCGGAACAAATAATGTTGGCGATGCACTACACAAAGTGCTGACTTGTACTGTGGTCTGGTACAGAAAATGCACTTACTTACATACTTATTGGATGGTCAGCACCCTTTTCCCACTTACATTACTGCTCAAGAGAAGAAGTGTCAGCCTCAGCTCTCCTTTTTCCATCAGTTAAAACAAAAAATCTCCATTCAAATAAAGCAGTAAAACCAGTTTTACTCATTCCAGCCCCTTTTCAGCAAAATCTTGCAGAGATAATTAGATTTCTGACCTACGCTTGTGCAGTTGTCATTTCTAAACCGTGCAGCAGGGTTTTAAAAGTTCCTTACATTTCAGTAGAGAAGTTTTTTATTTAAAAAGCACTTAGATGCAAGTCTGAAGAAGTAAGTCTCCTCTGAGCTACTAACATGCAACTGCTTTACTGTAGCTTTTCCACCGGTTTGTCATAATTATGCACCAGTGTTTGACCTTGAGTTATGTAAAATAGGTAATTCTTAAAGAATGGTTAATTTGCTACAAATCTTACTGAGTAGGTTTATCCGAAGCTTAGAAACTGCTGTTAACTAATTGGAAAATCCTAATTTGAGTTTTGTGCTGGTTGGAAATACAAACCAGACTTTTCTAAATTAGTGTCTGTAATGTAGACATACCAGACCTTCCTTCACCAGCTGTTCTGCTTCTTTGGGGTAGCACAGACTCTTACCCATCCCGTTGTTTGTTCCACAGGTGGCTCGTTGCTGCTTTTGCTGTGTGCCTGATGGAGACGGTAATTACATTTTTACTGCACCATTTACCTCACTTGTGGCTTTCAGACCAAAGCCAAGAAACTAAGGACACAGCTGCAGATGGAGAGCTGCTTGTATCCTTGTTCTGTAGCATATCAGACTGAAGCAGCTGCAGTGCTCAAAGTTAGGCTAGGGAAGGAAGCAAGAAATGTAACAATACAATTTTAAAAGGACAGGCTGGTTAATAATTCCTTAAAGGAAAGTTCATCACTGCAACATACAAAGCGTAAGCCCTGCTCTTCATGTGCTTGTGGGTGTGACTGCTGAATTTTTGGCTCTGCAGGGACTGCAGTTTAGGAATGAGTTAGGAAGGGAGTGTCCTATTTGCAGACCTAGTACAATCAGGGTTATCAGCTTGGACTTGCCAGAAGAGTGTCATACAGGTAGAGCAATTGCAATGGCCTAAATGCTCAAAATTAGTTAGTAGGCCAGAAAGTTGATACAAGGCAGGATTTTTGTGGCAGTCCCATTTCTTTTACTAAAGGCTTAGGCCTGTACCCCAAGGGCAAGGAAATGAACGTTCAAGTGTTGCTCTATATCACACTTTCCTAAATCACATCGTAGATGTTTCACTATGTTCTTCGTGTTGCCAGCTGCTGTTTTCAGTTCTCATTAAATTTGCAGAAGCTATCTTGTTTCCTGTCTCTTACAGCTGATGCTGAAGAGCATGCAGAGAAAAGGGGAGGCCAGACTGTGATTTATGATGAGAAGAAAGCCACAGTGTACAGTTATGCCTACTTCCACTTTGTTTTCTTCTTGGCTTCGCTCTATGTGATGATGACAGTAACTCATTGGTTCCAGTAAGTGTATTTCTTTAAAGCTGAGTGTGGTGGGGTAGCTTTGGCTGGACGCTAGGTGACCACCAAGCCACTCTATCACTGCTGTCCTCAGCAGGACAAGGGGGAAGAAAATAAGATGGAAAAAAACTCATGGGTCAAGTAAAAGGCCAAGGCCGTGCACAGAAGCAAAGGAAAACAAAAGATTTAATTCTCTACTTGCCATCAGCAAGCGATGTCCAGCCACTTCCTGGGAAAAAGGGCCTCAGTACTCATAGCAGTTGCTCCCGGAGAAAAACATTTTAACGGATGCTCCCTTGCTCCTCCTTTCTCTTAGCTTTTATTGCTTTATTGAGCAGAAGTCATATGGTATGGAATATCCCTTAGCTCAGTTTGTCCTGGCAGTGTCTCCTCCCAAGATCCTGCCCACCCTCAACCTGCTGGGGGGAAATTGCTGTGGAGACAGACTTGATGCTGTGTGAGCACTGTTAAGCAGTAGCCAAAACACTGGTGTTGTCAAAAACTTTCTAGCTACCAATACAACACACAGACAGCACTATGAGGACTGCTGTGAGGAAAATTAACTCCATCTCAGCCAGACCCAAGACATTGAGAAATTAATGTCTCTCTGTGTTGAGAGGGGAGACGTGAACAGGAACTTCTGCTATTGGTGTGTCTCCTCTCCTTAAGTAAGAAGCTGGAAGAGACATTGCAAGTCTTTCCTGGGAAATTATTGAGCAAGATCTTGCTCTATAAAGGGTTGCTCTCCTGTGCTTCATGTCTGGGTTAACCTAGCTGGAGTGTGTGACCCACTTTGAAAAACAGAGGATACTGCAGTCTGAGATATGAATAGTGAGTTTATTTTTTTTTTTTTTTTTTTTTTTTTTCCCTTAACAGTTACGAAAGTGCTGAGATTGAAAAATTCTTCACTGGAACCTGGTCCACCTTCTGGATTAAGATGGTGTCCTGTTGGGTTTGTGTCTGTCTGTACTTAGCAACTCTTATTGCTCCACTCTGTTGCCCAAACAGAGAGTTCTCAGTGTGAACACTCAGAAGGTCCTTCTGTGTTTTTCTGTTTCTTTTTTTTTCCTGTTACAAATGAAATACAACAGTCATTTAGTCATGAGGAAATACCTGTCGCCCACTTATGGTAATGTACGAGTTAGGAACTTTTTAGTCAGGCTGAACAAATGATTGGAGACTTTTTAACCTTTTTTAATTGTCATGAACAAGTATTGCCCACTGGAACAAATATTTTCCAAAACTTTGTAACGCTGATGTGTGGAGTGTAGGAAACACAGTTGTTACATAAACTGGAATAAGTGAAATGCTTTTCACATAACTGACAATCTTTCTCTGGCTTCATTGGCAAGAAAAGAAAAAAACCATGGTGCAGATCTATCTTCTTTCTTCCTGTGAATGTTGAATAACTTCTAGCAAATATGCATTCCTTTTTTATACTTTTTTATTAACTGTGTCTTTTACAGTTTGCAGTGGTGATTTGGACTGCTGTTTTGTACAGCATATAATTCTTGTAAGTACTATCCAGATAATTTTTAATTAAAACATAACTAAATACTTCTGTAGGAATAGAGAATATGTAAGAATTTGACTGTCAAAGCATCTACTAAAAATTGTTTATCTAAATATTAAATATATTAAGTTATTGTATACCTGGATTGAGAAAAGAATGTACCAATGATAATAGAGTATTTATTCTATTATAAATTTAAAAGGCACCTGAATATTTTATGCAATTCAGATCTGGTCCAGCTGTTGACAGATGGGGAGTTCTACACACAGATTCTTAAGCTCTGAATTTTGTCCAGCTTTGCCAGCTCACTTAAACTGCAAGTTGTATGTACTGCATGGGGATTTAAGATACAGTACATTCTTTATTCAGAATGCTTGCTGTTGACAAAAATTTCAGGAGCAATGCCAGTTGCTGTTAAATTTAAATTTAAAGTGGAGTGCTCATTAACTTCTCCATACTGCTGTTTCGACTTGTGTCTAAAGATCTCCCAGGATCTTCAGTTCTCTTTCCGTTACTAAGTTTATAATGTTTTAAATGCATTGATGGTCAGAAAAGGACTACAGTGTGTCATCTTCCTTTTCTGACAGTGTGTTGGTTGGAAAGTCTTCTTTTTAACTGCTATATTTTTATTCTCCTCTGTTGATGTTAGTTTTGTTGTTGGGATGGGACCTAGCCAACCAATCCATTAATGGAAACTAAACTTCTTTTGGAGAACTCCTATTCCAAGCAGTGGGGTAAGCAGTTAGAAAAATAAAACCAGAGGACAAAAATATAACAGCAGCTGCTTTGGTACAAATTATTGACTTTACAATATTAAACCCTACTATGTCACTTTTATTTGCTTTAAGCAGATGATTAGGTGGTAGAACAACAGGTCAGATGCCCTGAATGCTGAATAAGGTTGAACCCTCTATATTTATCCACATTCTGATGGGATGAATTTATGATTTAAGCTAGTTCCAGAGGTTTCGTCTTCTCTCTGTCTGTGTATATACACACATACAATGTGAAATACGCAGGATAAAAACAAAATCAACCACTTTAGCGGTTCTTTTTTTTGAAATATGATTAAGCCTTAAATCTTCACCCAGTGCTTTCTGCAAAACAAAGAAAAGCAAAACATAGAGGCCAATGAGATGGCCAAAATATTTGCCTGCCTTATTTGTTCTGTTGCAGTAACTAACGGCTAATGCACACCTGGTGAGTAATCCTAACATAACAGATCTCAGTTCTGCTCGTTTCCACTACCATTTTTAGCTGCCTTGTTGCTATGGTATCCTAGGGCTTTTGTCCTGCTTGGAGCTTGCTAAGGGTGTGATCTTCCCAACCCCAGGCACTCTTACCTCCAACGAAATCCAGAGGTCTGCAGTCCTACATACTTATACCAACTACCCCGGTGATTAAGAGCCTCAAAATACATCTGT